ATGTCCGTGTTGTTGGATATTCCAACCTACGTTAAGTTGTTTGTCAGGACATGGGCTCAAAGCCTAGTGCCATTTTCGAACGTCGTCTGTAACTCGTTCTCCATCCTCGGCGTCAATAAGGTACTGCATTCTTTCGCATTTGTTCGACGTTCGTAAAACCACTTCTGCATAGTACTCCGAATGTGTTCAACCAAGCAGGTTATCGGTAATGATCGGGCTTCTCTCAACATCGAGTTCAAGGACTCTACGTTGTTGTTTGTCATAATGTTGTAACGGTGTCCAATAAATAGTGCTCTGGACCAAAATGAATAACCCGCTCGCTCTAAGTACCCGTACGCTCTTTCACTCACTCTACGAATCTGTCCCATGAGTCGTTCGAAGTCCTCGACCCGAAAGGTTGTAGCAGCTCGTTTAAATAGAAGTATTAGGCTTGCGTTGTTGTACCGCTGTATTAGGTTCTTTTCCATATGCCATATACAACAACCATGGTAAGATAACGGAAACAACTGAGTAATAGCTTTCTTAATACTCTTTCCCTGTCCGAAACAAACACGAGTTCTTCGGAGTCCCCTATAAGATCTTTCAAGTTTGACATAAACCACTTCCAGGATTTATTGGTTTTAACATCCACGATCCCCCATGCCAACGGATAAATCTGTTTCTTACCATCTTGGGCAGTTGCCACTAGGAGTGTACCTTTGTATAGATCCTTCAAGTGACTGCCATCAACACAAATAACGGGTGTCAAGTACTGTATTTAACCACAAATGCTTGCACCAAAAGTTACGAAGAAGTAATGAAATCTATGAAGAGAATCAACTTCGATGTGGGTTACGGTCCTAGGTTACTCTCTCCTACGACGTGACAGTATAAAGATAATTTTTGAAAACTGTCCTCCGGTGTACCATGTAACATATTTAAGGCATGGAGCTTCTCCCTACATGCTTTGCTATAACTGATTTTTACACCAAACTCACGTTTCATATCACGTGCAATATCAGTAGGATGTACGATCGATATGGAGTATCCAATTTTTCCAAAATGTGCTCCGCAATTACAGAACTAGTGGCATGCTGATGTGCGTTACGACAAAAATCAAGGGAACATGTGTGAACTGTAATGAATTTACGGATCATGAAGATTGCAGATTGTTTGACAGTAGAATCACGTAGCATCCACTTGCAATTATCATCCACACAGACAACTATTAACATTTTCAAGCTTGGCCTACTTACCTGAAATTGGAACTTCTGTTGCAAAGCAAGTCCACGAAGCTTCGAGTACAACTGTTTCTTGCTAAAGAATATTTGCTTCTCGGCGAGAACGGATGTATTTGCAGCTGTAATCCACTCATCTGTGCACAAAGTTCTAAAATTTGATGACACTGTCTTGTCAATTTCAGCAATAATAGCACAATCTGTACCATGTAATGGGTTGTCTGAGTGCTCATCGGATGCTGCAGCCTCTATACGGTCAATTAGAAGTTCGGGTGCTTGGCTGTGCGACACACTGTGCTGATGATTGATCTCGTCGTGTTTTACATTCCTGCAGACATTCCGTTGGGCCGAACAAGTTCTCTGCACAGTTTGTATCTGTTGCCATATCAACACTCGGGAGCTCGGTTTCCAAAATAGTGACGCAAAGTGCAGTTTCCTTATGAACAGATATATACCACTGTAGGTCCTCTTCGTCGCGTACCTATGCCGAATGTATATTCAAGTTCGGGACTTTGAACTTCAATTCAATTTCATTGCGGGATTCAACGATACCAAGTTTGTCCTTCAACCGTAACACAGGTTCTGCTACGATAATACTTTTCGACGCTAAAATGGAAGTGGTTTGTCCCCTCTCCACTTCCATTCATCATCCAAGTGAATGAAGCTTCCTCCATGCGGTACGATGAATCTCAAATTATGAGTCATACCTGAAATGTTGGGACTGCAAAAGTGAGAATTTTGCACATTCATATGTCGACATTTCATAACATCAAATTGGCGCATGAGAATACTTACATCCATGTACTACCAAAGATATAAAAGGTTAACAGTTTTCAGTTGTCGAAATCGACAATTAAATTTTCTATCCCGACAGTCACTAAATGTCGAGTTCGACAGTTAAAATGTTTAACCCGACAGTTTCGAAGATACTGCTCGACAGTTCAACTGACATAACTTTCGGGGAAGATAAATATCACGTGTTTCACTGTTTGAAGATTTTATTGAAAACATTAAAGGCCATAATCAATTCTCAACTACAACATCACTGTATCTTTCTACAAATGAAGAAGGTATCACTCGATGCTTCATTAAATGTGGAATTAAATATGGAATCCTTTACATTTTCTAAAGAATATTGATATTATTTTTCTTTCTAAAATATACCAAAAATAAAACACATCAATGAATAAGAGATTGAAAAGGGTCATTTAAATATGATCATGTTGTATTGAACATTTAAAGTAGTCAAGTATGACATGAAAAGAATTTTTTTCTACTAGCTCACATTTGAAATTGATCAATGACTTTCCTTGTTTCCTTGTTGATGATGAAGTGGAGATGTTAATGAAGAAGAAGCTCTTTCAATTCGTATGTGTGTGTATTTTGTAAAGATTTCACCTCTTTTTTAATAAAAAAAAAATCATATTATACAATATAATATTGATATCTTCAATGTTAAAATTAAAGAAAAAAATTAATCACATCATACCATTAATTGCATTCAAATCAAGCATTTATTGCTCCAAAAAGGTGTTCAAAGGTAAAGTGGACATTTTGTAAAGAAAAATTGACATTTTTGAAAGAAATTGGTGAAAGTCAAATTTTTTTTTTTTCATTTTCAATTTTAGTGACATTTGTGTAAATTTCCCTTACTTTAATTGTCTATCATCACTGGCACTGAATGAATGAAACGAGTTCCACTGAGGCTCCCACCTTCGAAAGAGTTCTTTCATCGTCCTCTCAACAAAGGATGCAATGGAACCGTAGATAGTCAAGTGAAATCAGAAGTTCTTCGTCTCCACCCACAAATGGTGAATTTCTTGCTGAACAATCGGAAGAGCTCACAAAGACTTGGCCAAATGAGCTACCAAGCAGGCCATTTGAGATTATCAATCTATTTATGACACGATTTTCAAGAAAATATTTTTATATTTTAATCAGTGTGGGCTATATTGTTTCAAAAATTAATGTTCTAAAATGAAATCAAGTTATATATCCAATTAAAATTTTCTACCAATAATCAACTGGTAGTTAACAGCACCAATATCTCACCTCTAAAACTCCGAATGACTCTTTTATTGTTGATGTCTCCTCCTGAAGAGTGCACATTAAAAGCAGTGTTTCTAGCCTTCTAAAAGCAAATGGAATATTGACCAAGACTTGAAGGAAGCGGTCTGCAGGTCCAAGGCGAGAAAGATCGCCGCTGTAGAGTCTAAGCTTCTTCAGATGTTGGTGCGGCAGTGCCATCTTTAACGAAGTTTGAATAAGTTCTGCTGGAAGCTCATTACTTGATTCAGTTGAAGGTTAGCTACTTTCTAAAACTCATGATGAAACAAAAAGGCAAAACTATAATACACCAATATAACCACTAGCATACAAAGGCTTCGTTACTTGACAATTAAACAAAATAATAGACATTCGTTCCAAGCTTTATTGGGGACAATTGCAGCATTGGTCCTCAACATATCTCCTGCCTAAATCAAAAGTTGGCCCCCGACCTTTGACAAGGATCGAGTGTAATCTCAACATTCAATTATAGTTCCACAGTCAATCCTTGACCAAAAGAATCCAAATCTTCGTTAAATTTTCATGTGGTCCTGAGTGAGAAAAATACTTCATTTCAAATTTCTAAGAGCCAAACCGAGCTGGAAAACAAAATCTAACTTCATATAGTAGGGCCTACAAGGATCACGTGGCAATTTAATAGAGATCTGTACAGTTTCCAATATTAAGGACTGATTGTGCAAATAATGAAAGTTCGAGAATCAACTTGCTCTTATCTACCACATACCTTGAAATGAGTTAGAATGCTTGTGTATCCTTGATTTTATTTATTTTTTTGTATTTTCTGTTGTAAAATGTGGGGGTAATCTGGGAATCTAAACTACAAGTTGTTAACAACTTTTGTTGAGTTTAAGACTTAAAAGAAAGATATTATTTTATTTATAAAATAGATTTTACACACTTTGATTATATGGAAACACTTTTCACTAGAACACTACACTGCCTCTCACTATCTCTCTCTTTCCCACTCTTTCTTCTTGCTCTCACTTTCTTCACACCACACAATTAATTACACATACGACAACACACACACACATATAGGCAGAGGATTGCTGCCATCATTTATCCAGAGAAAGAATTCTAGTATGGTGGTAGAGGCAAAATTATCTAATTATATTCTAGATCCTTCTCTAATGCCTGCCCTATGGAAAAATTTGGAAATTCATGCTAAAGTTGGTGATGATTTCTTCAACTTTTTGGTGGTGGCATTTTTCACTAGAAATCCAGAAGGGAAAATGCATCAAACAACAACAGACGGAGGAGTTCTTATCTCACCATTATTCCCTTCAAGTTTTCACAGTCAATCCTTTACATTAAAGACACTAATATTACCTTCAAAATAACACAGCAGTATTGATAAATAAATTTGTAAATTAGGGCCTACATACAATAATGTAAAATTTATTTATTTATTTTGAATAAAAACAATCATAAATTCATGATGAGATTTTGGTCAAGCCAACACAGCAAACAATCCAACCCGGAATTTGACAACGTCACCCATTGCGTCAGAAGTGGGTACCATGGAGTGACAATTATCTCAAGCAAACAGAAACGCACTCTAAAAAGTGTTGTTCACTTGCTGAAAAGCGTGTGTATTTTAGTCTACAAGGTTCCTAATAATATCCGCCACACAGAGAAAAAATTTTAGGTGCAGTTGTTGTGAAGGTTATTGCGGTACAGCTCATCTATGACACGTGTCTTTTATTTCATTGGCCAAGTGGTAAAGGCGGTTTCGCAGTAGGTCGGCCATTTCATCTTTATAAGCACGCATCTCATCCCCCCTTCTCATTCATAATTGAGAAAAACATCTCTAATTCGTTTCATCGATTCTCGTCAAAGTTTTATTCGAATCTCTTTCTCTCATTCAATCTCTCATTCAAGGTACTTTGTTTAATATTTGTCAAAGTTGATTTTGTCTGATAGGCTATAGATCTCAGTCTTTCAATAGTTTGATTTGTTGATTTTGATTTTTTGGATCTGCGATTGTAAAGTAATCAATTTTTGAAAGGATACTGCAGATCTATATTTTATGGGGGCAAAATTTACATTTGATTGTTGGATTTGATTTTTTTTATTAAGCATTAATTGATTGTAAAAATCGATTTTCCGGAATGACCCTGCCGATCTGAAGATTATCCATCTACTTTGCCTTTGATTTTTAGATTTTGCAAATTTTTTCCCGATCTGTGATTATTTTTGTGCGGATCCTGCACATCTGTTTTTATGATAGGTTTTCAGTATATATCTTTTGACGAATTTTATTATGTTTGCTAATTCATTGAATAATTTCTCTAGAAATTTGTTTATTCTTTCTGTATTTTGTTAATTGTTTATGGATATATTTATGAGAATAACTAGGTTTTGAATGGGTTATATAACCGTAGTTTTTTGGTTAATTGAATTTATTTCGTCTCTGATGAGTGATGAACGAAATGACTTGTTTCTAAATTTATTTTGTTCAATCCTGCAGATGCAGATCTTCGTTAAAACCCTGACTGGCAAGACCATCACCCTCGAGGTGGAAAGCTCCGACACCATCGATAATGTAAAGGCTAAGATTCAGGATAAGGAAGGGATCCCTCCAGATCAGCAGAGGCTCATCTTCGCTGGTAAGCAGCTTGAGGATGGCCGTACCCTAGCCGATTACAACATCCAGAAGGAGAGCACTCTCCACTTGGTCCTCAGGCTGAGGGGTGGAATGCAGATTTTCGTCAAGACCCTTACCGGGAAAACCATTACCCTTGAGGTGGAGAGTTCCGACACCATTGATAATGTCAAGGCCAAGATCCAAGATAAGGAGGGCATTCCACCAGACCAACAGAGACTCATCTTCGCTGGTAAGCAGCTCGAGGATGGCCGCACCCTTGCCGATTACAACATCCAGAAGGAGAGCACTCTCCACTTGGTGCTCAGGTTGAGGGGTGGAATGCAGATTTTCGTCAAGACCCTGACCGGGAAAACCATTACGCTTGAGGTGGAAAGCTCCGACACCATTGATAACGTCAAGGCCAAGATCCAGGATAAGGAGGGCATCCCCCCAGACCAACAGAGGCTGATCTTCGCTGGTAAACAGCTTGAGGACGGCCGAACATTGGCAGATTATAATATTCAAAAGGAGTCAACTCTGCACTTGGTGCTGAGGTTGAGGGGAGGCATGCAGATTTTTGTTAAGACGCTGACCGGGAAAACCATCACTTTGGAGGTGGAAAGCTCAGATACAATTGACAACGTGAAAGCAAAAATTCAGGACAAGGAAGGTATCCCTCCTGACCAGCAGAGGTTGATCTTTGCTGGAAAGCAGCTGGAGGATGGGAGGACTCTTGCTGACTACAACATCCAAAAGGAGTCTACCCTTCACCTTGTCCTCCGACTCCGTGGTGGCCTGTGAAGTTGCTGTTCTTTTGGTCGTTCTATGATGGTGTCTGTCCGTTGATTGTGATGTTTCTTTCTTTTGTGTTCGATCGTTTTCTCTGTGGACCTGTGTTTGGTTTCAAGTAGCCATTTTTGAATGGTTTATTTTCTCTTTGGTTTGAAATATCGCTTTGCTTAGTCTCTCTACAATTTAAGGTTGATGGGAAATCCAATTCATGAATAAAGTGAAGCCTTTTATGTATTTCTTATTATGTATTTATTGAAATGTTTTAGTTAGTAGTAACATAACTAAGGACTTGCTGATAAATATTCTTGTTTATTTTTTCTGCAATTTCATTGCTGGTAAGCTGTGTGACAGTATTTGCAGTTTGCCTTTGTTTTCTTGTGAAGGTCTTGGTTTTAAGCCCTTGCTTGTGACCTATTTGGAAAATTAGAGAGTTTTAAGTAGTTTTTTTTTTAAACGTCGTCCGGTTAAAGAAGTAGAGAAATTTTATTTGTTCGGAGTATAGAATATTATATTGTATGAATGTGATGGAGAATGATACTATATATAACAAATAATTTAACATTTTAAAGGGTGACGAACGGACACTAATTATGTTTTGAGGTTTTAAACTTTTGGAGCGATCATCAAAATGGTTATATTGGTGTTCATCTAGTGTGAGCATTTTGCTGCCTTTGTAATAGTATCTAAATCCATTTTATTTGACCTCTTGGATTTGAAAATTTCAGTGCTTATGCTGTGTTTGTTTTGAAACTTCTTTCGTTGTTTCTGTGTTTCGTGTTTAGGTTAATTTATGTTTTAAAGTTGTTCATTTTGTTTGTAAAATGATGTTTGTGTTTGACTATCCTGTTGATCTGTTTTTGATATTTCTTCAGCTATGATGTTTGGAGTCTGGATTTAAAAATTATCCATCTTATTTGTTCAAATCTATCTTGATATTTTCTGTGTCACAAACTTGGCAATTCACAGAATTGTCTGTAAACAAAGTGCATCGATGGGTGCCGCAGGTAATATCTAGACCGGAATGTTTCAGGAAACACCACGCACATTTCTCTGAATGATGGTGGCTATATGTTTTTTGAAGTAATCTATCCAGTCTAGGTCATTAGAAAAATTTATAGGCGAGTAAGTATCTTTCCAATGGAAGAATTTATTTCAAGTTCTCTGTGATTTAGATTTGAGAGGGAAGAAGAAAAGGACTTGGACTCGTAACTGATTCACAGGGGTTTGATTATCAAAAAATTAGACTCCTTCAAAGGGAACTACACTCCTGCACAAATGTCATGTTCACATACGTATTCTGCATTACCCCAATCGAACTGATTGCATTTTGTAGTGTGGGGTAAATTTATCCGAGTCTGTCTTCCACTTCGCCAATGGAACTATTTTTATTGTTTGAAATTAAGTTAAAAACCACGTGGAATATAAATAAGTATATCGTGTCATTAACCCCTGAGGGATTAGTTCAGTGGTTAAGTCTGAATTTGCTCTTCAATAATCATCAGTTCGAGTCCCTCCAGGATCACTAGAGGTTTATCTTGCCATTAACTTCAGAGCCTCGAGGAATAAGTCAAGGCGTGCACAGGTTGGTACGAACACCCACGGTTATAGACCCAAAAAAAAATGAATATCTTGTAACTATATTAGAATATTGTTAGCTGGCACGTCAAAAATGTCTTAATCGGTCATCATTAGATGTAATTGCCCCATATTATAAGTGACTACTTTGTACTTTTAAAAAACTTGAGGCTCTAATTGCAATTTTTTTTATATTCTGTTTTTCCTTTCTATTTGTTTATTTAAAGATGATAGTCAATTATTTATTTTACAATGCTTTGATGGAGAAGAAAGATGATAATTTTTGTGCAAATAAAGGTTGATTTGAGAGTTCAAAGATCAAAATTGAAACCATAGGAACGATTTGTACAATGAATGCAAACAATAGGAACATTTTGTACTAATTCATCATATTTGACGGAAGAAATTAATGGAATAACACCGAAATGACCAACTTTACATACAAGAAAAGGTTAAATGAAGGGTGCAAATATCAAGTAGAAAACGATAGAACAAATTGAACAATAAGTACAAACGATGGGAACGTTTTGAGTAAATAATCAAGCAAAGTATTGGTACTCCCCTACTTTAAAAATCACACTTGCACCTGCTCTGGAAAATCGCCACGTACACCCCCAAGTTACCGACAACCCAAATCACGAAAACCCTAATCTAGCATCCTTATATAAACTCGATTTGAACGCGCAGGTTTTTTTCTTTTCTACCCAAGCACTGACGTCTGTCAATCCCTGCTCGGGCTCACACGTTGGGGTTCAGTTCTTTAGTTGCAGAATTCAATTTCTTGCCAAACCCTAGTCTTTGGATCAAGTAAGTGCTCGAACCCAGTTTTTCTATTTAAATGCACGATCCTTTCAGATCCGATTCGGTTCGATTCGAGTTGAACGATGGTTTATCTGATGGTATTAATTTTCCCTTTTTGAATTTTTTTTGGATAAAATAGCTCTGCATGCTATAAAAAGAATTGAAATTTATGTTCTTTGTGCTTTTCTGTTTTGATTGGTTCGCATCGATCGTGAAGTGTTTTGGGAATTTTTCAATCTTTTAGGTGATAAAAGTCTTAATCTTTGATTTATTCCTTGGGATTAGTTCGATAAATTTGATTTGTGTTTTTTGCGGATTGAATCATTATTCATACTCTGAAGAACTGAACTTTGTTTTGATTATGCTTTCCTCATCAAGGTGTGTTTTGCTTTCCATCTTTTTAGTCCTTTTAGATGATGGAAGTGTTAGTCCTTTGGTAATAAACTCTATGGTATAGCTTGGGGTTATCATTTTTTTCTTAAAATTTAGCTTATTGTTAAAACTGAATAATAAGGGAAGACCAGTTTGATACATATTTATGGAATTTCATGATAAATTGTACTGATAATTTTGCTATTTTTTAAATCATGACTTGGATAAGCGATATCTTTTCCTATTTTATGATTATAAATTGAAGAACCAGTGCCTCTTTCAGCATTAGTTACGAAATATTGACTTATTTGCTTTATATGTGCACTATCAATTAGAATGTCAAAAGTTAGTGGATGGCGCTGGATGATACAATTAGTTTGGTTGTTGAGTGGTGGGGTGGGTATAATTTGTGCATGCCAGTAAAATTTGTGACGTTCCTTTGTTGGACAGCAGTTGCACCTCCATTAAGGTCTGCATTTATTGTGAATGCCAATCTATGTAGAAATGAGTTTATTGTGACCCACCTTAATTTTTTGTTTTCAAATAAGTTCTGGAAGTGAGATTTACTGCAGTTGTTTAGTGATTTTGATGGTAGCCAGTAAGGGACTTGCTGGAATTTTCTGCCTTTAATTTCGGGTCCATTTTCTTAAGGAGCATGTAATTAGGTAACTTTTGAAAATCAGATATACTGAATCACAGTTGATCATTTGTTCCCCTTTTGGGGGTTTTTTTTTTCTTTTTTTCTTTTTTTCGAAGAATCTTTGGACTATCTGGAGTTGACCTTTATATAATGATAGTTTAGCATGTGTTCTCCACTTGCAGGTCTGAGCATTTACAACTAGTGCAAGGGATACGCAGTGTTTGTTACGTCAGCCAAGTTTCATGTCTGATTTTGACATCCAAACTCCAACTGCATTTGGTATGCTGCTTTGTTTTTATCAGAAATATTTTCTTTGTGATATCCAGACTACTAATGCTTTTGGTGTGCTGTTGTTATTTCCATTGTTTCCTTAAATAGTTATTTGGTCTTCTCATTTTTAATCCTTCCTTTTTAATGTATAAAGAACATTTGCATGTTGACATGATGAAAAGATAAAAGTAGATAGAAGTTGTGATAAGTATACAACTGAATGAAGAAATAAGCTGTGTGACATTCACACGAGACTGTTCCTACTTCCTATTGGGCCATTGGCCTTCCTAGATTTCTGGAGTCTGGTAGGGAAGTCCTAACTTCTTGCTTGCAATTGGCTAATTTTGTTTTTTATGTGATGAAGATCCTTTTGCTGATGCAAATGCTGAGAATTCTGATGCCGGGTCAAAAGACTATGTTCACATACGTGTACAGCAGCGAAATGGTAGGAAAAGCCTGACTACTGTGCAGGGTTTGAAGAAGGAATTCAGCTATAATAAAATACTCAAGGACCTTAAGAAAGAGTTTTGCTGCAATGGTACTGTTGTTCAGGACCCCGAACTAGGCCAGGTTATTCAACTTCAAGGCGATCAGCGGAAGAATGTCTCATCCTTTCTTGTTCAGGCTGGGATCGTGAAAAAGGAGCATATCAAAATTCATGGTTTTTGAGCCGTGTCATCTGTTTCTGCTCAGTGGACATCAAATCGTTTCAGTGCAGAACATATTATGCAAACTTATTTTGAAATAGCATTGCTGTATTCTCGTGCTTGTGTGATCTATACACACTTCATTTCCAGTATATCTTTGTTCTAGTACTGTCGTGTTATCTTAATAGGATGTTTGTCTGTGTTAATGGCTATGCTAAATAATGACAATTTGGTCAGTGCGTGTTTTCTCCAATAAGTTTAGTGCAATCTGTTGTTCATATGATATGTGGGTTTTCAATGAAAAATCGAAGATGGGGTTGGTTGGTTCAGTGCCTTTTTTCTCCAATTAGTTTAGTGCAATCTAGTAATCTGTTGTTCATATGATATGTGGGTTTCCCATGAAGATGCTGTTGGCTGGTTGATTTACCTAGTGTTTGTATATTTTCTAGGAATATGCAATATATCATATGATTGTCACAATATGGAAGTACACGAGCCTGTCAGTTCAAATTTTATGCAGTGCAAGCTATTATGAACCGTGTGGATTATCTTCAAACGTTAACATTGGTCTGTACTAGTGCTTCTTGTAAATCCCATTGCTATAAATGGGATGGTTGTGCGTTATGTAAGATGGCTCGATCACCCTCGTACTATTTTCCACTATCTTCTTGCTGAGACATCTGTCATACAAGCACGAGTGCATGGTACATGTTATTGTTTGCTATATAAACAGTTCTTTGGCTAAACGTGATTGGTATGGTTTTCTGTTAATGCTTGTGTCTTTGTATAGTAGTGATATTTAAGTACTAATGTATGATTGATGAACTAAATGAGGTCCATAAAAATGATATTCATGTTCCAATTCACATGCATTTGTCAAATTAATTGGACACAATCATTGTACAATTAGTTTATTTCTTTGGATTTTAAGGAGATTCGAACCAATTGTTTGGGGGTGTATAACAAAAGACGAACAAAAAGGTGGGAGAACGATGTCAAAAGTGCAGTTAAACGAGGTCATGACATTGGGTTAATGCCTTATCTGGGTGAGCTGGAACTCGAGACCATCAAATATGACCTGATTTTGTCGATGACTTTTGAGACGTCATAAACTTGTTCGAGTCAACCTCACAAAAGAGAACATATGATCACCACTAAATTTGAGAAGGTGCGATAAGAAGGCACCCATGGTTATTCCAAGTGATAAAATTCTCTCAAAAACTTTATAGCACGAGTAGTAACAAATTTGATTGTCAAAACAGAATCGATCAGAGTCGGCCCTAGCTCAAGGCAAGTGAGGCCAGTGCCTTGGGCCTCATATTTTAGGGGGCCTCTAAAAAACCTCAAAACTGCCAACTATTAAAAAAATAATAATAATAATAAAAATAAAAATTTGCACATAAAAGAGTAAAATGAACGGACCGCCTTTCTCCATGAGTCCATCCATTCCAATCGACAATCGTCTTCTCCGTAGATGACACTCCAATCTAGTCATCCAAGAGGCAGAATTAATCTTCAGGTTGGGCGAAATCCTCAAGTGCTAAATCCGCAGGTTGGGCCTTTCTCCATCCATTATATGAATTGTGATTTTATTGATTTTAAAGGAGAGTAAATTCAATTTTTTTTAGGGATTTATAATGGGATTATTTATTTGGACATATTGCTTATGATAGTTTCCTGTTTCCATTTCATTGAGAGTATAGATTACTAATTCTGTGATTCACTTTTACTCTATCACAATTGACAATTCAGCCAATTCTTTTACGGTATTATTTCGGATTACTGCCTCATAAATGATAGTTTTTATGCTAATCATGTTAAATAATATTTTTTATGATTAAACATTCTTGATGTAAATCCTGTTATTGATTTCATCCCAATGTCTTATTTCATAATATTGGAGCACAGTTGCTTTATGAAATTAATGAGCACAATATATATACATTTCAAATAAATGGAAACCCTTCCTCATAATCGTTGTTGAGAAGTCCATGCATGTGTTGTGTGCTACCAAAATTGGAGAAGGCGTATTTTGTTAAAACTGAAATGCATCTTTATTATTGGAGGCCCTTATTGATATTGTAACACGTAAACTAGTGGTGGCCATTGGGTGAAGGTTTATGGAATCTTCTATTTGGGTTACCTTTTCGGCTAATGGTAATTTGAAATAATTTATGGGTATTATTTGAGAGAATTTACGCTCCAGTTCTCTCATTAGACTTGTAAAATAAATTTTGTACTGCGGGCTCCATAATATTTAAACGCCTAGGACTTTAAATTCTCATGAACGTCCCTGGAATCGACCTCCCTCCCAAATGACCGAACTCACTATTAGCACCGATTCACAAATCTTTTGTAGCATCGTATCAAAAGTTCAATCTTTATTAATTAGTTTGTTTAATTTTAATACATTGAAAACGATGTCCATGTGAATTCACCTGCAAAATTTCAAATCGAAAGTGTGTGGCTGAAATTCAAAAAGCTTTTCCTAAATTTCCACCTACTTTTTTGAATTTTATATTATCCTAACATTATCACTTTAGCACTTTTGTATACCCTTTACCTATCACATTTATAGGGTCAAAATTATTGCACAAGCACCATCTGATCCTTTTGCTCTGCGCATTTTGTAATTTATTCCGAGTAAATATTTTATTAATTTACACGTACCCCACCATTGGAATTACTCGCATATAATTTTAAATTACTTATTTTGTGTAATATTATACTAAGCAATCCAACATATTAGAAATATTATACTGCACGTATATTACTACTGTTGAGTCTCGTTCTTGAGATGACCTGATGCAATACGCCCCCAATATATCAATGAAAATGGGGTATTTATTGCCCCAGGACACATCTCCAAGTGGTAAAAGGGGAGGGTGGAGAAATCCAACTTTACTTGAGGTTGTTTCGTCAAGGATTCGAATCTTGAAATATGGATTTGGCTCTTGGGTAAGTGTAAGTGTACAAGCAGCCTTCCACCCTATACCCTTGGAAGCATAACCTGCAATTTACCTACCTCACGATACTCTAGGGCAGAGGTCGTGGGAGACCCTTAAGGTTGGGGTTCAACCTTTTAAAATGGGGCATTTATTTAAAAAAAAAAAGAAAAAGAAAAAGAAAAAAAATCCATTATTTTCTTTTTCCTATTAAGTATGAATAAATGTTCGTCAGTACAAAATATCTTTTTCTGATTATATATGGGGGACCGACAATGGCACATTGCCAAAGTGGCTGAGTAAATCATTGCGCGTTTTACTCAAATATTCACAATTTTCTCTATAAAATATGCTTTAAGATGTGGTGCAAAGAAGAAAGAATATAGAAAAATGGCTTCTTCTACAAACCAACCTCTCCTTTACACTCCAAAGAAAACCTCAGTTGGCTGCAAAATCCTCATCTACTCTGTTATTGCAACATTTGTTGTAATTTTTTCAGCTGTTTTTCTTGTCCCAAATTTGATTAAAACAAGCCAAAATGATCTTTCACACATGTGCAGGACAGCCTTTGATCCCGAGAAATGTGAAAATCTTGTACATGAAGTAGTCTCCAACAGAGAAAAAGGAGAAAAACCAATTGAGAGCAACGATATACTGCAACAATTCTTGATGAAGTATGCTCATCATATGGATAATGCAGTTGCAGTTAGTAGAAAACTTAGGAATCAGATCAATGATGAACATGAGCAGAGGGCTCTAGCTGATTGCTTGGAGCTGATGGATCTGTCAATTGATCAAGTGAAAGATTCTATGGTGGCTTTGGAGAATCGAACAAGACTATCGCGTTCCAATGCACAAACATGGCTTAGTGGGGTTCTTACCAATCATGTCACCTGTCTAGATGGTCTTAAAGCTTCAGGCAAAACGTCGATTGGAGCAATTCTTGAAGATTTGATATCCAGAGCCAGAGCAGCTTTGGCAATATCAGTGTTCGAATCCGACGGGGAAATGTTGTCCCGAGGGCTGCTGCCATCATGGATTACACCGGGAGATAGGAAACTGTTGCAGAGTTCAGCCAAGGATATTAAGGCTGATCTAATTGTGGCTAAAGACGGTACGGGGAACTACACGAAGGTGGCGGACGCTGTTGCCGCAATCCCGGACAAGAGCAAGAAGAGGTATGTGATATATGTTAAGAAGGGAACATATGAGGAGAATGTAGAAGTGGGAAAGAAGAAAAAGAAGCTGATGATTGTTGGTGATGGAATGGAAACTACCATTATTACTGGTAGCCTTAATGTTGTTAATGGTTCCACAACCTTCAAATCTGCCACTCTTGGTGAGTACCTTCGATAAAATTGGTTAAAAAGTTTGAGAATAGTGATAGTAAAAAATTGAGTAGATTAAAGAATCATTGATGAAGATTTCGTTGGTGATCACTGACGACGTTAATTTCAATAGCTACCAATGAACATCTGTCAATGATTATCAACGACAATATTGTTATGACATTGTCAACAATCATTGATGGTGTTTCGATCGTTAATCGCCGCCGATTATGGAGAACTTATCGATAACCGCCAACCCTGTTAATTTGTGTCATATTACCCAAAAACCTCTTTCAACTTTCATCGCCGATAATACTGTCCACATGACATTATTGGACATTGCTAGTATCCAACAGTATTGCAAATGAATGTTTATATAGATCTCGATAAGGACAATATTATAGATCGCTTGTGTCAAATACATAATTTACCTTTCAATTCAGAATTTTGTAATTTTGTCTTGAATTAACCACCAGTCAATGCAACTTGTACAGCCGCCGTCGGTGAGGGATTCATTTTACAAGACATCTGCATCAAAAACACAGCCGGACCAGAAAAGCATCAGGCCGTGGCGCTTCGCGTCGGCGCAGATCAATCCGTCATAAATCGATGCAAAATTGACGCCTACCAAGACACACTATACGCACATTCTCTAAGACAATTCTACAGAGATTCCTACATCACAGGAACAGTAGATTTCATCTTTGGCAATGCAGCAGTAGTTTTCCAAAACTGCAAACTCGTGGCTCGTAAACCCATGAAAAGCCAAAAGAACATGGTAACTGCCCAGGGCCGGATCGACCCGAATCAGAACACTGGGACATCAATCCAGAATTGTGAAATCATACCAAGTGCAGATCTAGAGCCAGTGAAAAGTTCTTTCCCGACGTATCTTGGTCGTCCGTGGAAGGAGTACTCGAGAACTGTCTTGATGCAATCGAACATTGCAGATCATATTGATCCGACAGGTTGGGCTGAATGGAATGGAGATTTTGCTTTGAAAACTTTGTATTATGGGGAGTATATTAATGGAGGAGCAGGTGCAGGGACTAGCAA